TCTAGCCGTTGAAAATCAAGAGATTGATTTTTCCTTGCCACGGGTAGAATTTCTTCATTCAGGACTTAGATGATTTTCTAAGCCTTTTCTCACTTGTCCGCTTTCTGAGACTTCCGGTCTTCGGTGAGTCTTCCGATTCTTAGCTAACAAATCCGGATGAGTCTTTTTCAGACTTCCGGGTGAGAAGGAGATCCGCGCTAGTCTTCCGATTTGAATGACTTAGCCTTCAGCGGGTTGTAGCGAGACATCCGGTTCTTATGTAGTCTTCCGGATCTGAGGATTTTTATCTGATTGAGAAATCCTTACTTGTCTCTGACACTTCCGATTAAGATATCCAATTTTCATATCACTGAATTTGATCAAGTCTTCAGGCATCAAAACGCTTAAAGAAATATCACAGTTTTATTGGAAAACTCAAGAACTTGGTTTTAACAATATTTCTAAAAAGAAAAATTACATTGAATATTGGGAGAGACCTAAAGTCCCTATTACATTCTAAATAAATCATCATCAAAATCTATAATATTTTTCCCAACAGAGTGAATGCATGTAGGGGTACCTGGGGTGTCAATGTCCTCAACGGTGGAGAGAAGTGCCAGGTAGTTCAAGGGAGAGGAGTGTTCATTATTAGCACCTACCTGTTTGCAAAATGAGGCCTTGGTAGTTTTTATTTTAGATGGGTTGTATAGGCCTGTTGAGGAGAGACTGTGCACCAATGGGCTGGTAGTTGGCCCAGCTTCAAGTTTGGGTGAGACACTTGGGCTTTTTGGGGATCCACTAACATTATGCATATGTAAATTGGGCCTGTTTTGCTCTGTGTACCCCAACTTGGAAGGGCCCGGAATGTCTGAGCATTTCTTGGCTTTGTTCGTTTGCCCATTAGCCTGAGAGTGCTAGATGCCTGCCATCACATTATGAGCTGGTGCCTTTCCTTTCCTCTGAATACGGACCCACTGATGTGTGTTATTTGGCTTGATCTCCTTATCAGCTTGCTGCCTTACCAAGGTTGCCCCGCCGGTGAGGACTTTTCCGACGGGTTGGGATTTTTTGCAGCAGTGACCCCAGCGTCCACAAGTTATGCAGTAAGAAGGAAGGTCATAAGTGAGATGAATTTCACGATCCCATGCAGGAGTACGTACCAGAATGGCAGGTTGTTTGGGTTTGGACGCGTCCATCTCCACCAGAACTCTTGCAGAAAATAAATATCCACCCCTCGATGTGGTCTCATCCATTTGAATTGGTTTCCCCAGAGTTTTCACAATAGAGAATAGGGATTGGGCGTTAGTAAGGAAGAAGGGGATGTGCTTGAGCGAGACCCAGACGAGAGCCAAAGGGCTGTCACGTTTATCCTCTAAAAGAGGATCCCATTTTGAGAGATACATCTGGTGACCATTTGCTCTCCACGTCCTTCTAGATAATAGCCTAAGGAAGTCAGTTTGTGTTTTGAGGATGATAACTACAGTGAACCTGCTAATGGAGATAACACGGAGTCCAGAAAACCCTCCCCTCTCCAAGGATTTACCGATGTCTGTAACCTGCAAGTCCTTAGCAAACCTAGCTTTAATGGAGAATGGATAGGAGTCACCAATCCTCCTTATGTCCTCTGTGTTAAAGGTGACCAGAGGTTTACCCTTAAACCGGCAGCTTTCTCTCTCCCTCACTAGAAAAAATCATCTCCATTGATAATAGTTCATATATATATATATATATATATATATATATATTAAAAATGTTTGAACCACTGGTTCAACCACTCGAACCACTGGTTTGACCAGTGAACTAGTGAACCAGTGCCTTGAACGGTTCGATCACCGGTTCGGTTCTGAAAACTATGGTTCGAACCGTATTTACATGGACTCATGAAGTTTGATCGGTATCGGGGAGTCAGCCAAAACCGTCAAACTGATTGGGAACTAAAAGATGCCCATTAAAAGAAATAGAAAAGGATCATTCACCGCAATGCATCCTACTCCGACCAGATTCCCCCTTCTCAGGGAAGACTTGAACGGGAGGGTGAGTTAAGGCCTTTTCCCGGGATAGTAAACATCAAAGGGTCATTAAAAGACTTAATCACCTAGAAGAGGGGACCCTGGAAGAAGGGTGCATTTTGGGCCTTGGAGAGGACTCGAAACCATCCGACATGGTTAATTCTCCAATGTTGATCTAGCCTGGCCAGCAACATTATCTTAGAGGAAGACTAAGACACAGGGCCGGCCTGGCACGCTGCAGGTTACTACACCGGTCTTTCTCAATATAATAAAGAAAATATGTGACCTAGTCAAACTGGTACACTGGTCTCACACCGATCTTGCACATATTTTCCAACGAGCTTGAGCCCAATCGAATTGGCCGAGTACACCAGTCACACATCAGTTTCAGCAAAAAAGTGAGCTGAGCTCATATCGGGGACTGCTGATTCATTTTAAGCCCTCTATCTGAGGCACTTTTATCGAAGATGGTCTCCGCGAGACATGAAGATATTTACATCAGTCAGTCGGGCTAACATTTGTAATACCCTGTATTAACATGGGAATGTGAAGAGCTCAAAAGGATTGATAGTACTACTCATGCCAACAAGGTGCATCTTCTTTTCGAGAGCTCATCATCTAGAAACTTCAAAGTGAAGTGTGCTTGACTTGGAGCAATTTTAGGATGGGTGACCCCCTGGGAAATTCCTTAGGCGCGCATGAGTGAGGACAAAGTGCGCGGGAAAGACTTGTATTGGTTTGTGAGGCCAGTCTACAATTCTATGAGCGGACGCTTACGGCCAGGGTGGGGGCCGGGGTGTTACAACATTGATCTTCAACAAAGCTACCGCATTGTATTCAATTCTTATTAACTAACATCGTTTTCATCAGTATACTAATTTCGTCACCCATCGTTTGCTTGACTCGTATTAACACCGGCCTCGACGAAATAACTTTTTGAAGCACTGTTGCTTCATCGAACTAACATCGCTCTCATAACGATACTTATCTCTTATCTGCGCGTATTTTAATCACCTTAACACCGAACTCCTCGGTAAAGATAATGATTACTTGAGGAGGGAGAGGGAGGGAGAGGGAATGAATTTGCCTCCTCATCTTGGTGGAACACCTCTCTTTTTATAAGAGGGAGTGAGAGCATCTTCGGAGGAATATTTTCTTATTCCTTCATTTTACAAAGCATGCCCGATTTGATTATTCTTCGTAAATAATTGGGAAATGTGGACCGAGCCATGTATGTTTTCCCATCAAGAAGTCCTCCACTTTTTTAAGTTGTGAGAATCATCAACTTAAGAAAGTAAACAAGTCCCCCGAGTTCTATCTTCAGTCTTCTTTGTTTGAAATAAAGGCCCAACGCTAGAGGGGGGGTGAATAGCGTTTAAAACAAAATCGCAGGAAATTAAAACGAGAGCGTTAAAGTAAAGAGCGTAAGGAAGGAGCACACCGGATTTTATCCTGGTTCACCACAACGTGTGGCTAATCCAGCCCCCCGAGAGACTCTCTCGAGCTACATTAACTCTGTTAAGCTTAAGGGTGCTTAACAAACCGATACAACTTGAGAACCCGAGTCACACGAGCCTCAACACCTTTGCTCGGAGATACCGCACTCCAAGACTTCTCACGAAGGAACAAGAAACTTCCTTCGAGTTTACAACAAGGGAACAAACTCCCTTAAAGTGTATGAAAACACTTAAACACTCAGGCATAAAACTCTCACAAAGAGTAGATATGAGTGAACTAGTAAACGCTCAAGAACCCGACAATTTCTTCAAGAATTGGCTCTCAAATAGCTAAGAAAAATGGGAATGCTTATGCAATGAAAGAGTATTGAAATGTTGAAGAATTGTGTGTTAAAAGAGAGGATTTGGGTGCCATTTTATAGCCCAAAATGGGATAAATCCGTTGCTAGAATTTCCAACAGGATGAAGACAAATTTTTCAGGGACACAGGCTGATAGTCGATTGTCAAACCATGATAATCGATTATCCAAAGATTCCCTGTCCAAAAATTTAAAATTCTATCCGTTGGAGGACAACGGTAACCCAGATAATCGATTGTCAACAAGTGATAATCGATTATTGGTCCTCTC